GTCTAGTCGATTGAAGGTAGAGATTCTAAAGCAAATGACGTTGGTGTCAAGCAAAGCATCTGGAGTTTGCAAAAGAGCTAGTAGCCAATGAAGCGTTAAGACACGCACCGAGTCATTCAAAGCATTCGCTGTGATTGGGAGCATCTTCGAGAGAGTCGGCGACAGTGTGGTGCTTTTTGACAAGGTGTTGTACTCACTTGAGCAGCGCATATGTGCTGAATACAGCCGCCAATTGGCATTTCATAGGTAACTTGCTGGATGGAAAGGCAAGGTCTCAACTGTTCAAAGTTTGTCCACTTCACCCCCGGCCCCCCCCACACACACACATAAACAGTTGGGCCTTCGCACGAGCGCACACACGAGAAGCAAGTGTGGGTCCGGATTTCACTTCAGGCTTTCACAGCTGCAGCAGCTGCGCCGAGTCTGAAAGCGAGAACTATTGAGCATTCTCACAGGTGCGATCTGCCTAAACCTGGCAGGCGTCCGATCTGCATATTCTCCAAAAGCGTTGAGAATGCGCAGCTGCAGCGGCATCGCTGGCATTGATGTGACCGTTAAGGGTGCAGTTTCTGGAGGTTTCGCTAAGAAACCTCTGCCGTCAGTGGAGACTGGTGGCAAGGGCTTCAGGCGGCACCGGAGCATGTTTGAGCCCAGAGGCTTGGAGAGGGGGCACCCTGGCGGCAATGGTCAAAAGGTGAATGCGCTATGGCGGGCTTCCAGGCTAAAGCGTGCCAGTACGTTTGTAGAAATTGCACTTAATCTAAATGCTTCTCCGAGCGCCCATAGGCAGGGCTTATATCGCCTCCCAGTTCCCTCTTCCTTGGCAGGGGCTTATATCGCCTCCCATAGTACCTGCGAACTCAAACAACAGGAAACCCGATGCTGCACAGAAGGCAAATGAAGGCGACGTGCGTTTCAGCAGAATTGTTAACAGAACCTTGGCCGCATCGCTTGAAAGACCTCGCCGTGTGCGACTTCATTCCCACCGGTGTGGGTGACAGAATATGGTTATTTTTTTCTGGCGGTTGCTGAACACAGTTCAGCGTCTCTGTTGAGGGCTGTGGTTGGCAGAGTCATCAGCCAGCCTGGCTGACAAGCCGACTGACTCGCTCTGCAGCACCCTGTCGCTCATGGAGCCATTGCCTCGCCTTGGGCCTGACTTCCGGGCAGAAGCAGCCTTTCAACAGCTGCTTTGTGTAGACGCTTTGACCTCGTGTTTGTACGAAGGCAAAGGGCAGCGTCGGCTGCGTTCAGCGCAATCGCTCACAGAACCTTGGCCACATCGCTTGAAAGACCTCGCCGTATGGAGCCAGCTGTCACGCTTCCAGTCAAGCTACACGGACAAAAACACTGTAGAGCTGTAGCACTTGACTGCCGGTACATCAACCCTACACTGGTCAAAGTCAAAGGCGCAGCCCTTTACATGTTCCTCAGACGTCTCGCATTCCTGAGCCTTAGGCCTTGGCCTCCGGGCAGAAGCATCCGTTCAACAGCTGCCTCGTGTAGACGCTTTGACCTTTTGTTTGTACAAAGGCAAATGAAGGCGGCATGCGGTTCAGTACAATCGCTCTCAGAACCTTGGCCGCATTGCTTGAAAGACCTTGCAGTGTGCGACTTCATTCCCACCTGACCGTGTCTACGCGGTTGGCAGAGTCATCAGCCAGCCTGGATGACAAGCCGGCTGGCTTGCTCTGCAGCACCCTGCCGCTCATGGAGCCATTTCAATCAGGCCAGCTGTCACGCTCCCAAGCAAGCTACACGGACAAAAACGCTGTAGAGCTGTAGCACTTGACTGCCGGCACATCAACCCTACACTGGTCATAAATCAAAGGCGCAGCCCTTTACTTGTTCCTCCAACATCTCGCATTCTTGAGCTGTGCAATCGGTCTTCCCCTTGCCTGGCCTTGGGCCTTGACTTCGGGGCAGAAGCATCTGTTCGACAGCTGCCTTGTGTAGACGCTTTGACCTCGTGTGTGTACAAAAGCAAAGGGCAGCGGCGTGCGTTTCAGCGCAATCGAAAGACCTTGCCGTGCGTGACTTCATTCCCACCTGACCGTGTCCACGCGGCTGGCAGAGTCATCAGCCAGCCTGGCTGACAAGCCGGCTGATTCGCTCTGCAGCACCTTGCCGCTCACCTTTCAATAAGGCCAGCTGTCACGCTTCCAACCAAGCAACCCTACACTGGTCATAAATCAAAGGCGCAGCCCTTTACATGTTCCTCCAACATCTCGCATTCCTGAGCTCTGCAATCAGTCTTCCCCTTGCCTGGCCTTGGGCCTTGACTTCCGGGCAGAAGAATCCGTTCAACAGCTGCATTGTGTAGAGGCGGCATGCGTTTCAAAGCAATCGTTCACAGAACCTTGGCCACATCGCTTGAAAGACCTCGTTGTGTGCGATTCCCGCCTGACCGTGTCGAATCTGGTTTTATCCCTTCACGGCTTGAAATTGTTGGACTGGATGTGCAGGTGGACAGCGCCAGGTTGGCCAGGTCTTTTGAGCTGTGGCGCCTCCCAGGAAACCCTAAGACATCATTACAACACGTCTCTGTTCAGATTTGAATTGCCTCAAGTTGGCAAGCAACCTGGGGCAGTGGCAGCGATCGCCAGGCAAGCCTCCTTTGAGAAGGACTGGGTTTAGGGGCCCAGAGCAGTGTGGTGTTTGCGACCTGGATACTGGCCTGTGCCATGCATCTCTGCATTGATGCCTGGCGTGCCTGGCACTGTGGCGAGGCCGCAACCTTTGGCCTGGATTGCTGCGACAGACATGGCAGCTGGGTGATGGGCTGCGTAGTAGTTGAGCCGCGCGTGACCGCACGCGGCATGGCTCAGCAGTGCCAGTTGCATTTGGCTCCCAGGCTCCAGGCTTTAGCAATGAGCGCACACAGTGCCACGCAGAGCACGCGGCTTGGCGCATGCCAGTTACTTCCAGAAGCTGCAGCTTTTGTGTCCACGGGCTAGACCAAGCCTGGCTACAGTCAGGTTCGCCCCAGGGCTTGCCTGCGCCGAGTGCACAGCGCGGCTCCTGGCGCCCGCTCAGAGGAACACACCTTGCTGCACGTGCGTGGGCGAGCGGAGCCACAGAATTCCTCAGAGCTTTGTGCGCACGGAGAGGGCCTGTTGCCATGCAGACTTCTGGCCAGAGCGAAGACGCGTGCGCTGCTTTATTGCAAGCATCCCACCTGGCGCATGGTGATCCGTCGGCTGCTGCAAGCATGTAGAACTGGCTTATGGAAAGCCGCGCTCGCCGAATTTCGCTGGAGTCACGCGAAAAGAGCCACAGCCTGAGCCATTGTTGAAGCCACAGTAGCGCGCATGCACTTTGTATCGAGCATGTGGCAGCAGGACTGCCCAGTGCTGCACACCAGGCCCAAGAGTTCAGATCAGCTCCTCTTACATTAGTCGGGGCATAGCCCAAATTCCAAAGGAACAGTCGTTGTGGGCTGCTACTAGTAGTCGCGAGTGTTCTGCCGTAGCCGCGTTTGGCCGACTTGCCGGGCATGTCTCAATTTCCTGAGCTGTTTGGGCAGCGGCGTGCCTGTCATCAGAAAACAAACTCTCATACATATTGAGGCTGTGAGGCTGTGAGGCAGACCCAAGAGCGGCCACGCAAAGACGCGCGCCCCATCTCCCACGATGAGGACTTGTTCAAAGCTCATGCTTTGGCATGTTTAGGCCCCCTTTGGTCCACTTCTGTTGTCCAGACACCCCAGATACCGAGCAGCCGTCGCAGTGAGCTGACGATTTGCAGAGATGGCTAAGGAACTGTGCGCAGAATCATTCGAGCCGAAGATCTATCAACTGCGTTTAGGAAGTGTTAGGCTGAAGTGGAGGTTCCAAGTCAGCATGATGCTGAAAAGTGTATCAGTGGGTTCCGCAATGTAGTAGCAAAAGGCAAACTCAATTCAGGTTTAAAGGCTGGTAGCAAGCAATGGGGCATGTGTGGATTATCATTGAAGGTTTGTTTGGACCTCGGCGTCCCAAACTCGTGGCCGCACTGCACTGACTCGAACAGTTCAATCGACCCACCCCGGGACTGTGTCAGGGCTCACTGAACCTCAGGAGGATGCCAGATGCAATTCTTGTTCAGCCAGATGGATGCTTTGGCTAGCAGCATGTCCATTTCCATTTTGTGAGAGACCACCTTGCAAGGTTTTGGTTAAGCGACATGCTATCGTCCCAGCTCAGCTGTTTGAAGATCCAACGTGAAAATGGGTGGCGCACGCAGATGTCACGTGCTTGAATGATTGCTGACGCCTCGGCTCCGATGTGTTTTCTCTGACTGGTCCTTGGAACTTCCTTGCGGCGCTTTTCGGGAGAGTGAAGCCGGGCATTGAGCGCGATCGAGTGAAGCCACGAACGCAGTTGCCTGGTTTGCAAACCCACATGTTTTTCAGGAACACCTTGAATCAGCAGGGGTGCTGAGAGAGCTGCGGCAAGCTGGTAGACATCGCTGCATCCTTGCTCGAGATGCTGGAGATGCGTGCGGTGGCTTCCGGAAAGCGACCGTTTTGGGCTTGCCTGTATAAGCCGGCCAAGTGAGCAGCGCCAAGAGCTGGAAGCTCCAGATGTGAAGAAGCTGCAAGGTTTGGATGATTGGCGGCGCCGGTTACCTGCCAAAAGCTGCAAGGGTGTAGCAGTTACCAAAGTCGTTCGTTTGCGACTGGCACAATAAAGGACTTCACGTTGGAGCTTGTGCATAAAAGACGGTAAACCGCAAACCCGAGTCAGCGAATATCCCTTGGGGGATATTCGAGGATTCTAGCCTATCAGGCAGATCCTCGCAAGGATCAAAAACAATAGATGTGGCCACGCCTTCAAGAGGCTTGCGTCTTTCGACGCGCTGACAGCAGCTGAGGAGAGAAAGCCTGTGCTTAAAGGTTCGGCTCTGAGGGTAGCTGTTCAGATCGCAGTTGAGCGGCGTTTTTTTTGCCCTCAAGCTAATTTAGTAGGGAGGGGGACATTTTTGGCAACACAGGCGGCGTCAAATCAACCAGATCTTCCATGCGTTGCAATCCATGGTCGTCTCGAAGCAGCAAGGCCTCGGGTAAAACAGATTTTGAGGTTGAAACCACTAGAAGCTCAAGGCAACCTCCACAGGCCATGGTGCAGAGCGTGCAAAGCGGCATGCATCTGCGTGCCGAAGCAACAAGTGCAAAAGCTCACAACCAGCGAAATAGCCTAAGCACGCAGAATTGCAAGCCAGGCAACCCTGACGGCTGCTTTGCCAGGTTTGCGGAAGCAAAGCATGAAAAAACATGCGCCGCGGAAGTCCGCCGAAGGGACTTCTTGTCAATAATGTCCAATCAAGTTTGAGGGGAGAAAAGACCAACGCTCTGTTAAGCCTCATTGAAGGCTTGGGTCGCGTGCCAGGCAGCCAAATGCCTTGCACCCATACATGCCAGACCAGCTCTCCTTTTCATGGCCCGAATTTGGTCAGGGGGCACGCCCAGATCAGAATCTAGTCAGCCAATCCCAGTACGCCACATTTCGAGTTCAACTCTTGTCAGAGCTTGTGGCGGATGCTGAGCTGACAGTCCCGTGGCAAGGTTGCTTCGACCAACCTTGAAATCTGATGTATGTGCTTGGTGCATGGCAAAGAGAATCTTCAGTGTGGGCCGGGGTATCCTGGCAGTTCTTAAGCGTGAGCTGAGAATGGACCCAATGGACCGAACGATGGCCTGCCGCTGTTGGCTCAAGGCATCTTCCGCCTTCCTTGGCCAGGCCTTGCAGACGTTCGAGGAGCGGTCGCTGATTGCAAGAGACCGCCCGGCGCACGGGTCATTGGTCACTAGGGCAACGAGCTGTCCTGCCGTCCAGGCGAGCTGTCCTGCCGTCGCTGCAAAGGCCGCAGGTTTTTTTACGCTGGCCTGTCGAACGCGGAGAATGAGCCCCTCAGCCTGTGCTTTGGCAATTCTGAGTAAGGAGGGAATTGCTTGGATTGCCGTAAACTCAGTGCGGTGCGGATTGGATCCATTCTGTGGAGGGTTCTGAGAGTGGCGCGGTTGGGCAAGGCAGCGACATGCCGAGCCCGTTGCATCGGCCACACCAGGTCTCCAGATCTGCATGAGACCCTTGTCCAAGACACACCGTAAACCCACACCTCAGCGTCCCTCCCTGACATCAGCCTGCAGTAGAGCGTGAGCTGTGTGTGTGTGTGTGTGTGCGTGCTTTGTGAATGTGTGCTAGTGTTCAAACGCAATTCTGCCTGCGCCAGTCAGCCCTCCATGATGCATTCTTGTCGGAGTTGCAGGAGCAATGGCACAGCGAAGCAGCCCTTGGCTCTTGCAGACGCACGGGCCAGCAAATGCAAAGTAATTAAAGCTGCCAGGCTACCTCGGCAACAGCATGGCAAATCTCTGAAAAGAGTCAAGTGGCTTGATCGCTGATGAGAATTTGCGTTCGGGTGGCTTGGTCACGCCAATGCGGGCCATGGCAGTTTAGCTGAAGGGCCTTGTATGGCACAACCGACCGGCGAGGAGAAAGAGAGGCGTTTCTCTTGGTTTGACGTTCGCATGACCGGTTGCGGGGTTGACAGCAGGAACAGTATTGCATCACTTTGGTTTGCAGGTCGGTAGATTCTGAATACATGGAATCTTGGGATATGAGAATGGCTGCCGCTCTCTTTTCGCAATCTGTTGGCCCAGCTATCACGGAAACGAGAGGCGAGCTAAGTCCAGATCTCAAGCAAAGTTATCATCACTGAACCTCTATCGTGCCGGCCATGAAGAACTCCTGCGTGAAGAACAATCATCCAGCATCTTGATGCAAGATAGAATGCCAGAGGAATGAGACGGGTGTGGCGGAAAAGAGGGGCACCCCAAATTGAGTGGTTTCCTCAATCTCAAAGGGTATCCTCCAAAAAATCGAGATGTGCACTCGATCAGCCGAGGTGAGCATCTACACCCTCCCTGCTTGGTGCAGCCAGCTGGTGGCAAAGCTCGGCAAAGGCACACCCTTACATGTCTGAACCATTCGCTTCGCACGGTGGGAAAGCTTTCGACTTGTCTGCCGATCACAATTTGCCGCATCAATCCACGGACTCGGTCATTGTGTGTGTGTGTGTGTGTCTGTGTGTGTGAGTGAGTGTTTTTTGTGTTTGTGTGTGTGTGTGTGTGTGTGTGTGTGTGTGTTTGTGTTTTGTGTGTGTGTGTGTGCTTGTGCTTGTGTGTGTGTGTGTGTGCGTGTGCGTGTGCGTGTGCGATGAACGTGCGCGTGTGCGATCCGCGTGCGCGTGCGCGATGCGCCGTGCGCGTGCGCGTGCGCGATGCGCGTGCGCACGTACGCACCCTCGAAACCCCGAGTCCCAAACCCTGCACAGCTCCCGTCTACAAACTCACACGCGCACCGCACACACACCACACACCACACACCACAAAACACAACACACGCAAACCCACACACACACACACAGAGACGCAAAGACAGAAAATCACACAGGCACAAATTCGCAAACACACGCAAACACACGCAAACACACAGACACACACAACAAACAAACAAGCAATCAAACAAACACGGAAGAACACACACGCAAACACACACGCACATAGACACACACACACACACAATCACACACTTACACACACACACACACACACAAGCACACACACAAACACAAACACACAAACACAAACACACAGACACACAAACACACAAACACACAAACACACAAACACACAAACACACAAACACACAAACACACAAACACACAAACACACAAACACACAAACACACAAACACACAAACACACAAACACAAACACACACACACACACACAAGCACAAACACATGCGCACACGCATACGCCCACGCCCACGCCCACGCCCACGCGCACGCGCACGCGCACGCGCACGCGCACGCGCACACGCACACGCACACGCACACGCACACACGCCCACGCCCACGCCCACACGAGCACGCGCAGGCGCAGGCGCAGGCGCACGCGCACGCGCACGCGCACGCCTCATGCAGAAAGCACAGTCGTGCCCGCCACCGCCAGTAGGGCGGCGCAGGGCGGTCATAGAGTGAAATGCATAAGTTTGCCCCTTGCGCGTGATTTTTCTATGCAGCTGATTGCGGTCGCAGTGTTGATTAGGTTTGTTTGGGGTTGGTGCCCACGCAGGTGAGATTACCAGCACGCAAGTCGAATAGATTATAATTATGATGACTTGTGGCACGGGCTGTCCCTTTGTGCTGATCATGAGCATGCATTTTCCTGCTTGTCACCACAAGCTTGTTGTCAAGACTTGGAGGCAGCAACCTTTCTGATGTTGCAGCATGTGGGGGCGTTTCTCACCGGATGAGGTGGACATTCTATCTACAGAGTTTGTTTCCTTGTCCGATTCCACCTGGTTGTCGGGCCTCCTGAGTGCGCTAGGAAGGGAATCGCGAATCACTTGGCCTTGCCAAACATGCGCGGCACACCACCAAAACTATGCTTCGCAGGCAGTGCCCAGACCAGCGCTGCAGGCGGGAGGTTGATCGCGGAAAAAGAAGTTTGCTGCCTTCGTTCTAAGACTACCACTCGAATATCGAGGGACGGGTCATTGCGAATTTGCTAATTGGGGGAAGCGACTGCTGCACCTGCAACAACCGGGTAGAGCCAGCGCAGGGCGTCAGTTTGAGAGTTGCCAGAGGTACTGTCGCGACTTGCTATGAATGCAATGTTTGTTGAAGGCTAACTTCGAGTCGGAGCCGGCGGGGACGGCCTTGAAGGCTGCCTGAATGTGTGAGTTGTGCACGGCTTAGAAGAGTCAGAGTTCTCAAGCGGGTGCTGGAAGGTAGTGGAACCCAGGATTAACGACTCCTGGTTGATTGATAGGGGGTGCGTTTAAGCAGGGCTCCTTAAAAGATACATTTTGCCCATTTGAAACATGGCTTTTTCCATCAAAATAAAAGGAAACCACCATTTGCAAGGCAATGTTCAGGTGTATAATGTAAGGATCTCTGTTAAGGGATCTGATCCTTCACTTTTGCGGAGCCGACGTCGCTCGTTGCCTCCGCTGTCACAGGACACGGCAAACACCCTGGAGGCGAACGGGGCTGGAGGAGTCTCGAAATTCGAATTCTGCATTCTCTCCAAGAGAGCCTTGCAGGTCTTAAACATAGAGCTCTGATGATGCCATCGCTACGCATTGCTTGCATGCCAAACAGGACACTTGAAATGTATATAGAAAGGAAAGAAAAGACTTGAGAAGACAAATCATGACGACGATCATGAGAGTGGATGGTAAGCATCACTACGCATCTCTAGCATCCCTAGCAGCGATGATGATAACCATCACTACGCGCCGCTTTGCATGCCAAGCCGGGTCTAACGGGACACTTGAAATGTATATAGAATAGAAAAAGACTTGAGAAGACGAGTCATGACGACGATCATGAACGTGGATGATAAGCATCACTACGCATCTCTAGCATCCCCAGCAGCGATGATGATATCATCTCTACGCATCGCTTGCATGTCAAGCCGGGTCTAACGGGACACTTGAACTGTACGTAGAAAAGATAGAAAAGGCTTGAGAAGACGAATCATGACGACGATCATGAGGGTGGATGATAAGCATCACTACGCATCTCTAGCATCCCTAGCAGCGATGATGATAACCATCGCTACGCATCCGCAGCATCTCCAGCAACGATGATGATAAGCATGACTGCGCATCGCTTGCATGCCAAGCCGGGTCTAATGGGGCACTTCAAATGTATATAGAAAAGATATAGAAAAGACTTGAGAAAACGAGTCATGACGAGATCCTGAGCATGGATGATAAGCATCACTACGCATCCTGAGCATCCCTTATTCCCAACATCTCTAGCAGTGATGAAACTGACTATCACAGCGTATGCCCAGCATCTCTGGCAGGGACAATTCCGATTCTTGCTATCGCCCTTTCCGCGCGCCTCCCCCTTTAGGCGAAGGGGTCGGCGGATATGAAAGCTTTACCGCATATCTGGGCGGTGATCCTTCAAGTGTCTGTATAGATGCTAAACTTCACACATGACACACTACACTGTGGGTGCTGGGCATGCTTCCAACGAAACGTGTTCGCAAATTGCCAACCAATATGAAATCTCTACAGCATTACTGTGCGGTGATCCTCCCCCTTCAACATGTATTGTTCCAGCCGGGCAATTCTGCGCATGTTCCTTCCCATTCCATGTCACCACTGCAACTAGCTACAAGCTACCCCTGCAACCTCAAGCATCTTCCAAGTGAAAAATAGTTTGCGCGGTGCGTTTCCCCAATTTGCCACCGCAGGCAGACGAGCTGAGTTTGGCGCGCTGGGAGCGCCCTTCGCCTAAAGAAGTGC